ATAAAAATACTCATTTATTGTTTAGGTTTGTTTACAAATATTATTTACGGGTCTGTATGTTACTTGAAACTATAAGAAGTATACGTGGTTATTAAAAAATTTAAAATAGATAAAATTTGCATTTTATGGAGGATACAATTTTTTGGGGATTTCAAAATAATGTACTAAAACATTAAAAGTAATAAGTTCAAATCTGTAGCAAATATAAATATTGTAATCATTTCTTATAAATACAATTTCCTAATGTAATTTTCTAAGATATCAAAGATCATAATGCAAAAAAAATAAGTTTATTAAAAGCAATAGGCTTTATGTTTCTTAAACTACCTACATTTGTCAAAGTATTTATGAATTTTTGAAAATATTCGTCCACTAGTTTTATTGTTGGAATGAAATATAGCAAGACTTGCATTGTCTACAAAGAAAGTTAGTAGCCGGTAGTCATCGGGTTAATTATTACACAGTTAGGAAAGTTTATTGATTTTAAGCTTAATGGGGCCAAAGGGGTTTAGCTACCTTTCTTTTCTGATTTCCACTCAGTTACCTCAAATTAGGACAGATGAAATGATGTGGTATTATGACAACTGAAAATGATAGTTAGAGGTTTGACAACTCAGCTAGGGGACATAGCATCACTTGGTTTCTGAGCTATCAGGTGATACTTCCAAAAAGCTGCAGCCTCCTTGATCACAACCTTTGAGCTTTTACTAACTTTCTTCTTTAAGTTTTTGTGATGGTGGAAAAACACACACATATTACTTACCTGTTAGAAGGTAATTTGCTTTGTGTTAATTCAGTTTCTTATGAACCAAGCAGCCAAAGTGTAATCTCTCTCTCTCTTTTTGTTGCAGTATCCAATTTCGATGATATGTTGATACAGTGTCATTTGAAATGATATAGAAGAATTTGCCTTAGTGCTTATATAACTTATATAGTTCTTATAAAACTACTGCTATGTCATACAGAATATTTGAGAAGTAAAAAGTGACAACATGGATTTTTGATTTATGAAATGTTCTTGAATATTCTAAATAATGTGGAATACTTTAGAATATTCCAGAATGTGCTAGAATATTCCATAGTACTATACTAGAACATTCCAGAATAACCTAGAATCTTTCAGGATTATTTATAATGTTCAGAGTATGCTGTATAGGCAGTTTTCTCATAAACACATGGTCCAGACAACTGTTTACTTTATTCTAGCTGCCTTTACTGTTTTATAGAGATAATACTTGCTTTGTATATTTATGTATAAATTACTAAATTTCTACTTCAACCAATCATTTCTTCCCATTCAAACAGCATCAAAGCTATGAATCCTCATAATTGAGATTTTAAGACATCTTATGTACATTTATTCACACACACACTGGCTGGCCACTGTATTAGGACCTATATATAATAATATGTTGGGCCATCTTTTGTCTGAATAACAGAATACATAAGGTGCTGGGAAATGTCCTGAGGGTTTTTCCTCATTCACGCATTGATATTATATTCAATTCTTGAAGTGATTTATACAGAGGATAGTGATGGCAAATATGTCTTTCAAGTTTATCCCACATATGTCCAATTGAATTGAGATCTGGGGATTATGGTGGCAGTGGGAGATGCATGAAGTCTGCATTAAGTTCTTGAAACCTTGCACACATAATTTTGGCATGGTGGATGGAAGTACCATTGTCTTGGAAATAGCTGTCCTCATCAGGGTAGCATGAAATTGTTAGATGCACCTTATCAGAAATGATGCTCAGGTAAGCTGTTGCATTCATCCTTGCCTTCTAATGGGGACCCAGAGTATGCTAAGAAAACATGTCTCAAACCATGACTCCACCACCAGAGGCTTGGACAGTTGAGGCCACACAAAAGGAGGTATTTATTCTTGTGGTTCTTCCAAACTCTGATTTTTTCCACTTGTGTAAAAAAAAAAAAGCAAAGCATAACCTTTCACCAGTCCTCATTAGTATAGTGTCTATCTGTGTTCTTTACATCACTCAAGGAATTTCTTGTTGGTAACTGAGTCCAAAGTGTTCCTACTGCAATAGTTGCAATATTCTTTACAAGGTATGGCTGGAGATTGATGTGTATTGCACTGGTCTAAATGTCTGTCAGTTGGTGTATTGTGTGATAACTGTTGGACTTTACCAACCTGTATAACTGCCTTTCTCCTTCTTTTGTCATTACATGATTGTGGCCACAATTTACCCTTGCAGCAGACATTTTAATCAATTTTTTTTCTTTACTGATAATCCCAAATGACTGATATGTTGGAGCAACTTACCAATAAAAACTGTCATGGCTCTTTTGAAAGTTGCAGTTTTTTTGCCATTTACCATATCTGTTAGACTGACTGCAAAGGTGCTTGATTGCCCCAGTAATTTATAGTGTAGGAATGATCACCGGATACATCACATGATCAACCTGATCTGTATCTGTAGCTCATATCAAGCCCAAGTCTGAAAGGGTACACAGATCCTAATGATATAGCCAGTGTATGTAAGTCAATACATAGAACATATAAAATTGCAATAGCTCCAATCTTTATGGGTACTGATAGTGTATTAATAAAAGCCAGTAATTACAGAATTTGCTTATGTGCTAATAACAATAAAGAGTAAAAAAATCTCATGAAAATATGAAATTGTTTCTCTCTGCATAGTCACCTGATAGGACAGCAGACTTACAACACTAAAATTCAGGTTTCGATTCCCTGTGGCAGACACACCAGAAAGCCCAATATGGCTTTGCTCTAAAAGAGGCAAAGAAACTCCCAACATAAACTCAAGTGGGAAAAAACAGATTTTGGAAAAGCTCCATATGATTACAAAAATGAAGTTCCTGATGTTTTGCATATTAATTATTATTATCTTTATCACGTGTTGTCATTTGTTAATGGATTGAACTGCAGTTTGAGCAAAAAGTGTTTTGCATATGAAAACTTGGGTGATAATTAATGCTTTGGCTTGCAATAGTTGAGAAGTGATGTTTGTATCGTTACTAAAAAGTAGTGTTTTATATTTTATTCTATGTAGTTGATTTTCTAGGAGAATATTGCAATAATAAAAGTTTGAGGTCTCATTAATTTTTAGCTTCAAAACAAGTGTTTTTACTTAAATAGAATATTATGTGTGTATCTATGTAAAATAATTAGTAATATATTTCAGTCAGGAAATGACTAATAATTACTTGTAAGTACTGTATTTTATGTTGGAGTTGGTAAATGTAATTAGCAAAAATGTAGTCTTGTTTTTTCTTCTAAACTGTTAACCAAAGGTAATAAGTTATAATAGGCTTAGAGTTCAAGTAATATACTAAAGTATGTTTTATTCAAATGATTTATCTTGAAACTGGGATTAGTCTGTATAGTTAACTTGCAAAGTTTTGATTTGTTTGTTACTGACAGGACATATTAACAAGAATGTAAATTTTTGACTTAGTGGAGATGTATTAGTTTAAGAAAATGTATGATATAGTTTATCTTGTATTCTCTTGTGTTTTATGAATTAAAAGGTTTATGTGAAATATAACTATCTGTGCTTTTTCTGTCTTTAATTTCTTAACAATATTAAAGTATTCATATTTGTGGGCCTGCACCTCAACAGTTTGGAAGTAAGTATGAGTGTAGCGAGTTTTAATTTATCTAAGAATCATACAATAGATAACTGGATGTGGAGCCACATCTGAGAATCTAAAGTTGTACTTTTTGAGCAGGTATTGTTTAATAACTGTATTCCTACAAAAGTAAATATAAATGTAAATTTTTTTTATGTACTCAGTTTTATATCTTTATCTAAATAGTAATTATATTATTTTTATCATGGTTAAAAATGAAGTTTTTAATATCTTGAGTGCCTTTTGACATTAGTCTCATTTAAGCTACTTAAATCAATTGATGATACAGTTGCCAAATTCAGTATTCCATACTCTTATATCTCAGTGTACAACTTTCTAAGAAGTACAGAGTATCTCCAAAACACACTTACCTCTGCTGCCACTTATAGTTATTACTCGACCGCTAGAGTTTCAACTTTGCCCATTTAAGCATTGGTCTGATATTTTCTTGCTTGCTCCAATCTTTTATACCTCACCCAATTGCCCATTTTGATATTTGTCTCATGATACTCTCCACTTACATCAATTCACCCTCTATCCTGGTACTGTATATAAGCATCTCATTCAAATAATTTTATCACTTTTTCTCGACAACGCGTTTAGACATGGGTTTCTCTACAGAAGTGCTGAGATAGTTAATGTCCTTGGTTGCGATTTTTGTGTCAACTAGTGGTCTTCTGTACAAATTATATTTAAATATTAGTATTTAAAAAAAACACAAATATTGACATGCTGTTGTCAGGTGTGAATTCACAGGTTACTGTTTCCAGCATGGAGGCTAATTGGTCCTTTATTCCACCTCTGGTATCTAATGTCTCTCAGAGCTTAGGGGTGGGTGGGGAATGTCACTCTCAGTTGAGGATGTTAGTGATCTGATTCATTGTGAGATGGAGACTTATATTTGGGGTGTCTCTCTAGGGCTGCTTTTGCCGATGATCCAGGACAGTCTGCAGAGCATTTGGACTCTTTTTTTTTTTTCCAGTGCCTTCGTTTACTAGATCGGCTTCTCACAAGGCCAATTTGTATCAGCCACCTCCTGCTCCATTTCTTCAGTTAGTCAGTTGGGTTTGTGAGGTTTTAGGGATTTCTCCAGTTGCCTTTGAATCTACTCCTTCATTGATGGCTGAAAGGACCGAAGGTGACTACTTAATTTTTCTCCTTCACCTGATATTGCTGTTCATGCTGGGAAATGTACTCCTCATTTATGTGACAGGATAGCTGTGCTTTGATTGCAGATAGTCCTCGTGCAGCTTTGCACAAGTTATGCCTTGTCCCCCAAAATTATCTGAACAGCATGCTTTGACTTGCCACCACCAAGAGGATGTATATTTAGATTCCCTGAGACTTGATTCTCTTTTGGATATGTGTGGTTCCAGACCGGATCCTGTGATCACTTTGAACAGGTCACAACTTTCTCGGATTGGTTTGACCCTCACTACTGTTCTGAGATATTTAACTTTCCTCCAAATTTTGTCACTAGCCTATGAGCATTTCCCACATCAATTTGAGGGCAAATTGGGTCCTTTACTGTCTTCTACTTTGGTAAGATTGTCAGCATCTGCTCTTTCTTTGGTTTCCTGGCTTGTATGTTGGGATTTATTGGGTAGAGATGCCTTGTTGGAGGGAGTTTGTCTACCTACTGTAGCCCTCCATCAGTTACATGAGGCTCCTTTTCTTAATCCCTTGATGTTTGCAGGCATTTCAGAAGTGTTGGAATCATGAATTGATGTCATCCATTTGCATTCTTCCTTATCATTGTTGGCCTCTAGACTTTATTTGACTCCTGCTGGAAGTCATGTTGTGACTGCTCATCGTTTGTCCTGATCCCATCTTTTTTTTCCTCATTCTGTTGGTACTCAGAATAGACTCCTTCCTTAACTTAATGGCTCCTCCATTTGGGTAGACTGTCATCAATGGCATCAGTGACTACTCTATGCAGGTGGGGTCTATGGGAGTGAGGTTACAACATTTTCTGGACACCTGGATTCCTTCACCACAGATCCATGGGTACTTCAGGTTCTGTTGTTGGGGTTGGTCATTCAATTCACTTCTCCACCTCCATTATCCTTCCAACCAGTAGTATTTCCACCCCCAATAGATCTGTAGAGTGTGGATCTTTGTTCCAAGGCTATTAGAGAGTTATTGGTCAAGAGGTGGTAGAGAGAGTCGGTTCCGTTCTTCCAGGATTTTATTCCCGTTTATTTGTTGTGCCCAAGAAGAGGGGAGATTGGTGGCTGATCATTGATCTTTCTTGTCTCAACCAATTCTTAGATCCTCCCAGGTTCACAATAGAGTCCTTTCTCAACCTACATTGCCATTTTTCACCACGTCTGTGGATGACCAGGTTCGATGTTGCTGATGCATATCTCCACATTCCCATAGCAAAGTCATCCTGCCATTATATATGTTTCATGCACAAGGGTCAGGTTCTGCAGTTCAGAGCTCTGCCCTTTGGCCTAGCATCTGCACCATATGTCTTTTGAAGAGTCTTACAAGCTTTTTCTCATCACTTTCATGCTTTGAGCCTTTGCATACACCATTATATGGAAGACTGGTTACTTCTGACACCATCTCGTCAGTTGGCGGAACAACACACTCAGATTCTCCTTTCGGAAACCACCAAGGCTGGCTTTCTTATCAGAGCCAAGAAATCTGTTCTCTTGCCAACTCAATATATTGTCTATCTGGGTGTATTTTTCAACATGTTTATAAGCTGGGCTCAACTGACTCCCATCCAGTTCTAGGCTATGAATTGGGCAGTCAGGCACTTACTTACTATGTCTCCTCCTCCTCCTACTGTGTGGATGGTTCCTTCTCTTTTGAGGATGTGGCCATCCCTCAAATCTCTGATACCTTTGAGATGAAAACATGTGGTCCCTTCAGTGGTTGCTGTCCTCTCGTCCCAAGATTCATTTCTTCATAGATGCCTAACTTCATGGATGGGTGCATATATTGATGGTCAGGAATTCCAGGGTCTATGGATGGAAGACTAATCTTCCTTCCACATCAATATTTGAGAACTTCTTGGTGTCCAACAGACTATGGTTCAAGGTCTTGATCTGTTGAAGGGGAAAAATCATTATGATCCATTCTGACAATTCTACAGTGACCTCTTACATTTCCTACCAAGTGGGCATGCGTTCTTGGGACCTTTGTTTTTGAACTTTGGATATTCTCCACTGGGATCTCTCCAATCATATCAGCCTCCTGGCTTGCCATGTTCCAGGGGTGATGAATTTAATAGCAGATCACCTGTATTGGCCCAACCGAATTTTTCCGACCAAATGGATTCTCCATTGCAACATTTTCTAGTGGATGATTGATGCATTTGCCACTCATTGGAACTCTCAACTATGGGCATTTTGGCCCCCAGTACCTCATCAACAGGCTTTGGTGATAGATGCATTCAGTCAAGATTGGACGGGATTGCACCTTTCCCCAAATTCATCTGTTACACAGAGTTCTGGCTATGTATCGATCCACTACTTGTTGAGTACTGTTGGTAGCTCTGTATTGGCTAGCCCAACCATGGTTTCCTCTTCCACAGTATCTTCAAGAGTGTCTTCCACTGCCACTTCATCTTTGGCCATCTCTGTTAAGGCAATCCCAATCCGAAATTCTACACCCAGACATTCCCAAGCTCAAACTTCATATATGGAAGCTATGAGGTCCTATGCGCAGCATCTGGATTTAACTTCAGAAGTTGCCTTGTATTTGTCTCAATCTATCTGTAGACTCACAATGGCCATTTATCCATGCAAATGGCACACTTATCATCAATGGTGTCTCACGAGGAAATTGAACTCACTTCACTGAAATGTGCCCACCATATCTTGTTTTTTGATCTGGCTTTTGTGACAAAGATCTAGCTTTGTCTGCTGTTGCTTTATATAAGGCAGCTTTATTGACTACTTTTCATAATTCTAAACATAGAAAGTATATGAATCCCCAGTGCTATCTGGCCTTCTCAAATCACTGAGAGAGTCCTTTGTCCCAAACAGCCTTTTCCATTACCCAACTGGGACATTAAGGTGGTATTACATGCTTTGTCTCAACATCCATTCAACCCTTTAGCCTCATGTACCATGTATCACCTTTCCCTTAAATTGTGTTTTTTTGTTGTTGCTGGCATGTGGATGCCATAGAGCAGAGTTGTTTGCACTACATGTGCACAGAACTCTCCATCACTTCCCTTATGTTCTGCTATACCCTGATAAGTCCTTTCTTCCTAAGACTCCTAAGCCAAGGAAGGGGATAAATCCTTCTCACCAATTCATTTGCCAGCTATTTCTCACATCTATGACTGATTGGACCCAGATTGTTTGTTATGCCCTGTCAGAGCTCACACCTGTTATTCACTGGGATCCTTCAGTTTCCCGAGATTTATCCCTGATTATTTTGATGAGGTGGCTTCACAAATTGATCCTTATTGCTTATTCTGGACTTTCTTTCTTCTGCGACTCACGTCTCATCAGATTTGTCACATTTGGATGTATTTAACTGCCCAATTGAATTGCCTGCTGGAGGACATCGTATGGGCTGGTATGTGGACTTCTCCCAATACTTTTTTCTGACATTATTTACAGGATCTGGCAGTTTCTTTTTTTGAGGATTTTTGCTAACCCCCTGTGGCTGATTTGACCACATCTTCTAGATTATAAGGAGGGGTGAGTATTTTTTCTCCTCCTCTTGTCTCTTTACCAAGGGTTCTTTTACCTCTTATTTTTGTTCACTATATGCCATTCTGTGGCATGTGTTGCCCAGACAGGTGTGCTGTTATTAATTCAATTCTGCACTGGCAACCAATTTCACTATAATTACTACTGGTTGCAACAGACTCTGTAGAAATGAGGTGTTCCATAAGACCATCTAGGAGCTCACCCAATGGTATTACCATTTTATGCTGGACTGTCACTCATGGACTTTCATGAGTAAAGCTAAAGAGGATCTTACTCATCCCTGCCCATTGTCAGATTAAATAAATTTGGATCGGTTTGCTTTTAAGAACTTAGGGAACTTGGTTCACCTATTGCACTGTTCCTCAGGACTTCCCAATGCACATTCCTCATTCCCTCACCCCACACAGAGACTTTTCCTCCAGAGTGTTTGAGTGATTTCCTCTGTTCTTGGAGAAAAGGGCAAAGTTGGGGGCCCTCCTACCCGGGTCCCTGAATGTTTGTTTTTCCCAGATGTCGGTAGCACCAGCCTATGCGGGAGCCTACTTGTAATACCTGTTCAGATTTGATGCTCAGCTATCCAGTTGGGTAGTGCATGGCCCTTCTTTTGATCAGTATCAGTTTAATATGTTTTTCAGGGAAGGAGTTCCACTATCTCCCCATAATTCTGAATGCAAAGTGGACCTTTCCTGGGTCCTAGGTTGAGCACATTGTTCCCTGTCCTCTCCATAATTCTGGGGGCAAGTGGAAGGCTCCTTTCCCACTCAGTTGTGGAGTAGGATGAATGTTCTTAATTCCAGACCAGATGAGTTTTGTTCCTTTGGTTGAGTAAGGCATACACAATCCCATCATTCTGAGCCTGGGATGTTGCCTTTTGGGCTTCTTCATGTGGAGGAGAAAGTTTGTCCACTTCGGTGTTGCTTACTTTCTCATTGTGGTTCAGAATGCATCACTCTATGGTTGTAGGTTGGGATCCAATCCAAAGTATATGTATATATAACCTTGTTGTTCACTTGCTTTAGCCACCAGCATGGGATATAGGGACCAAGACCCCTTATTTCCAACCCAGAGTTATAGAACCTCGGGTATTTAGTTGGGGCTGGCCTATAACGATGCTTACTCGTGTACTATTCCATCCTTGATACAGGAACTAAGTTCAGGGTGAAGAGCATACCTGTTCTGGTTGTAGTGCAGTTCCCCCACTTGGATACCACTCTTAATTTGGTTCACCTTTGATCTATGCAGAAGCTTTCTGTATGGATAATGTTCTTACAGGCCCCTCCACCTTATTGATGTGGGATTCTAGCTTCTAAGTGTTTTGGAAGTTAATATTTTTGTAAACAGAAAATGTATTTCCAATAATACTTACCTCCGCTGACCCTCTCCTGCCCTTCCACCCTACTAAGAGCTGGTTTTAAATACTGGGATGTTATCAGTCTCGAAAAAGTGATAAAATTATCTGAATGTGGTTCCTAGATACAGTACCTGGATAGAGGGCATATTGATGTAGGTGGAGAGTATAATGAGATATATATCACCAAGGGCAATTGAGTGGGGTATAAAAGACTGGAGCAAGCGAGAAAAAATCAGACCAATGCTTAGATGGGCAAAGTTGAAACCCTGGTGGTTAAGTAATAGCTATAAGTGTCAGCAGAGGTAAGTATTATTGGAAATACATTTTCTGTTTAGGAAACTGTTAACTTTAAAGTTTCACATATTATTTTTCAGGTCAGTTAAAAACTTTTTTAAATTTTTTTTTGAAGAAACTAGCCTGAAATGCTACAAAAGCATTTCATTTTACTTAGAAACACACTACTTTAGAATAAAACTTATAATCCAGTTTTAATATTTGGTTTGGTTACATGCTTGTACTTTATTAAAGCTTAAACTTGTATGATTGTTTGTTGTTTTTTTGTTACAGGAACAGAAGAATATAGAGCACAGGTTCCTTATCTACAACAAGTAGGCTGTTTTTTTTGTTACAGATATTGGGATAAAATTTTGTTCAGCAGAGTCTATAATCATTTTGTAAAGTATTTACTCATATATATTTTATATTTTTCTTTGAACACTTTTTGACATCATTATGCATATATTTAACTTACACCATAAATGTAGATTTGTCAATCATTAATGAGAGACCTAATGTTCAGTTGTAGCTTGTACAGTAAATATTATCATGTGCCACAAAATTATTTATTGAAACACTTGTCAGCATTTGAAATATCTAATATTTAAAGTCATTTTTGAAATATATTTGGTTACCTTCCTTATATTTGATTGTAAAATATAAACAGAGAATATACTCTCATAACTTTTAATATTAAAAAAAATATATAACATTTTGTTTCATCATTAAATGCATAAAATGAGAACATACATTATTTTATGAATTACAAACTAAATCAAGTATTAAGGACCATCACTGTTAATGTATTTTTAAGTTATATTTTCTATGTGGTAGTTATCACTGTACATATTTTGGTTGAAGTTCCTTTATGTACCCAGAAAATGACTGCTTTAGGTTGATTTAAATTCTAAGTCCCATGATAAAAAACAATAAAATACAGCATTTTCTACTTAAGCACTCTTAAGTTAAAAGTCTTCATGACGTTCAACATATTGCTCTTGTGGATTAGGACAAGCGTTAAAAAAAATTGAAGTAGTATTGCTGATGAAGTTGATCAAGAATTTAGAAAATTTATCATAAAAATATGAACTTGTGTAGATTACAACTTTATTTTTTTTTACTTAACCTTTTTGTGTGTCAGGTAAGTTGATTTGGCATATTGTCCAAGGTGAAAGTTACTGAATGTACACTAACATCTAATATGGTGAGAGTGTTCAAATAGTTTTTACTAGATCTATCTTATTTTTTAAAAGTTTTTTTTCCATTTCTGTTGATTAAATAATGTCAGACCACATACTACATTAGCATTACAAAATATTTTAGGTCAATCAGATTTTGAGATTTGTAAGCTTTTAAAATCCTAACCTTAATTGTAATATGTAAATGACTTAAATAAAATTGATAAGAATTACACTTCAACAACTTAATTTTGCTCACACCATAATAGTTCTTGTTCAAGCAATTTGATAATGTAAATAACATCTGAACCACTACTATCTTTGCATATCCCAGCCAGCCTGATGAACCCTTATATTGGACAAAGACCTTGTTGGCATTGTTATAGAAGATATAGTGTGGTTGACATATTCTTATACATTTTTCTCTACTTTTATGCTGTAGTTGTTAGACTTTGAATTTCCTCATCACACTCTTGTATATTTTATATGGCATGACACTATTTTACATATCAACTATTGTTAATATTTATTGTTTAACTGAACACTAAACATATTTAATGAAACAGTAAATTTCATGTACATGGTATCTATAAAGTTTCAACATGTTATAATGCCTTAAGTATTTTAATCTTTAGATACTTAATAAATGAACCAAACCATTTTTATGTTCAAATTATAAACAGTCTGTACATGCCTATTATTCATGTTATCATAACTGTTAATATTTCTGGTAGATTGTGACTATAAATGTTAAAACAGTATCATGAGCAAGTTTCCATCTCACTTATTATTAGAATATTTAATGATAAAGCATTGTTAGTGTTCTAGAAACCACTACAAAGTTATATAAAAATTGAAAGGTACTGATTTTTGTCTCCAATATGCAATAAAAAATTTTTTTATCCAATGAAAGAAAAAGGAAAGATGTCTAGAAGAAATTTTTGTAATTATTTTAATGTTGTATACAATTGGTCACATACTATATTAGAATGAAAAATAATGAAGGCTCAGTTCATTAAAAGAAAATAATAATTTGTATGTAGCCAGATACGTGAATTATCTGGATTTTGATAAAAATAATTTAAAAGAGCAGTAAGATATCTTTTGTTAATATATAAAGAAACAGTTCTTTTCATTATGTTTACAGCATCAAGGGCTTCACCAGATTTCTTCTGGGGTAGCACAACAAGTATCAAGTGGGGCTCCCCATGACATGAGTAAATCTGGTCCCCTGCAAGGGCAGGGTGGACCACCTCCTACACTCCAATACTTGTCAGGTTCAGGACAACACCAACCTCAAGCAGGTATGCCAGCTCCTATGACAGCAGATAATACAGGGCCACAACTTCAGCCAAGTGGTCTTCATCAGCATCAGGGACATATTCATAGACAACAAGCAGGAATAGGGGTGAGCTGGGGTATAATATCACATTTATAAAGGTTTTTTTACACTGATACAGACACCAAGAAATGCGATTGAGTTTGTAAAGATGGTTCTGTGTTTAAAAATTAAATGTGTTGAGGGTAAAAGTCTAATTGATAAATAACATATTCTTCCATTTTTCTGAGTTACATTGAAGTATGGTAGGCTTCATGTGTCAGTCAAATGGTTTATATCAGATTTGGATACAAATTTACTTACACATATACTTTGACAGATATAATACCTAGTTTAACCACCACTAACCTATGTGGACCTGTATTTTAATCAAAGTTTATTATCTATCTAAATTACTTCTGAAATAATTATATAAAAAGAAGTTGTATGTTTTGAAATGATTGTCAATACAACCCTATAAAATTAGAGTATTTAACCTTGATGTTTTGATGTATGCATTTTTGAAAAGGGTTCATAGCATCACAGATTTTAAGTACTATGTGATATTTATTTAAAAACTGTACCTCAATTTGTTTTGGTACTCAGTTTTGACAGTGGCAGGCCTTTAACTAATTTTTTGAATATTTATCTGTTTGGTTGTTTATTTTTATTTTCTGTGAAGTTGAGCATGTCCTTGTGGTTAATGTGCTGGACTGTGGAGTTAAGGTTCTGTGCTAAAAATATATTGAATCCCATACTTTTGGGGCCATGGGTGTGTTATAAGAATGATGGTCAAACCTTACTATTTGGTCCAAAAAAAACAGCCAAGAATTGGCTTCCTTCTTTAGTCTGTCACTTCAAAATAAAGTACTGCTAGCACAGATAGCCATCATATAGTTTTTTGCATAAAATTCAACAAACAAAATAAATGCTTTTTTTGCAAACTCAAACTACTTGAATTATCTGTGAAAAAAGTCATTATTAAACCTCCCTGCACAGTTGGGTCAAAGTGTGCATGTTATGACCTTTTACATATTTACATTCAAGATTTAATTAAGCAACTTTATTATCAATGTAGGTCAATAAACTTGGTATAAAAACATAGTTTATGATTCTAATTTTAACATACAAGTTTTAATTCACAAAAAGCTTTCTTGACTTGTACTGCCCTCTATTGGCACAAATTTTCACTCATCACTAGCTTTGTTACTCCAACTTTTACTGCATACTAACATGCAAATGATCATGCAGCAACCCTCCACCAATAGGAGTGCGACACTATCCCTACCACAACTATTGCACTCTAATCATACATGTTAATCACTTATCGATTACCAGTCCTACTGATTAGACATGTTTTTTGCTCCCAATTTAATTAATCTATCCACACATTTTTCCTTTCATAAATTTCTCCTTCAGTTAATTTGTTATTTTAAGTTTTCATTCTGTTTCTTGGAGTGTTATGATTTATTTTATTTAATCTTTTCTTACAATTTTGGATGGTCACAACTATGACTGCTCTTACTGTGGCAGCAAAATTCCTGACTACATCTAACAGGTTGAAACTACAATTCTTGGCCCTTGAAGTGATGGCCCTGGTCCATTGGGAGTTGACCACTTTCATGCTACAATCAGAACACTAATGATTGTCCTAACAAGGTTTTCAGTGATCTTTTAGTTTTGGATTTGGACAGCCTTTTTCCACCTGTCTTGAATATGTCTCTTAGCCATGTCATTTCAGGGGACTTGCCCAGACCCCTTTCCCCTTTAGTGGATTTGTTATTGAGATATGTTATGTTCTGTACTTATTTTCCATTTCCTATGTTCCACCCTTGTCTTTCTTGAATGTTTCAATCGCACTTCTTCCATTGTCTAGTCAGGGATCTCTGAGGGTATATGACAACCATACTACTCCCATTTTTCATGAGTCCATTTGTTTCTTCTGTGACATCATCCCCTCTCTCGTAACCTTTTCCCATCACCCTTCTTAGGTGAATTCGGCTGGCATTTTCTTTCCTTTCTTCCGATGATTGTCGCCTTTTTCATTTTCTTCCCATCAGATCCATCACCTTACCATGTTCCTGGCTACATATTTCCATCTTACCTTGGGGGACATCATCAGTGCTGTAATTGTTTATCTGTGGTGGTAAGTACTCTGCCCATTTTTCTTTTTCTTTGTTGCATATTTGGATCCCACTCTGTGGTGATCATTGCCTCACTAGGTATACTTAGTCTTAAATCTGCACTGTATGACCTGTGAATATAGATGACTGTGACGTTGAGACTCTTCCTCCACGGACCTGATGTACCATTCCAGATGCTGCCTGGTGTTGGTTGATTGACTCTGTCCAATGTGTCCTCTATGCATCAATATAACATGTAGAAAAAGAGACAAAATAACACATCACATGGTCATTTTTATGCCTAAAATTGAGATGGGGTGTTCTGCTGGACCACTCGTAGGTGGTGATCTTTTGCTTCATAAATATGTTCATTCCAGAATTTGCCCTTATGGACTAACATGAGTAAAGCAGACAGGTATTGCTTCCCATCTGTGATGATTCTCCATAAACTCTGATAAACTCCATTAACATGATTGCTCTGTTTTCAATATTGGGTATTGTGGTCACCCACTGTACTTTCTTTGGTGCTGCAGTTGTCCAGACTCTCCAACACATTATTTCCCTCCGTTTTCTAGTGACGTATAGGAATCCTTGCCTATTTCCTAGCTGCTGGGGTGGTGGACCATGGAGGACTGTCCTCCTGAGTGTGCACAATACCACTTGGTTTGAGAGTAGGGTGGTGGCATTCTGCAGAATTCAATTGTGTGATGCCCTTCCTACCATGGTCCAGATGTACAATTCCAGATGCCACTAGGTGATGGATGTAGCATATATATATATATATATTGCAGTTTGCCTTTCTGGTTGAGACATCCTCCTTCCTACCCTCCTCCGGATGTAGGTTCCTGATAATTGGGTGTTGGTTGGAGATGATCCATCTACATAAGTCCTTTCATGTGTTTGGCTGGTACCCTCCTCCTACCGTGGACTGGATGATCAATGTCTCCAGGTTTTGTACTGGAGATGCAACCCTTAACTTGTGGTTCCTCTTCCTACCACCTGCTCGATGTTGATTCCTGGTGGTTATGGTGTTAGTTGTAGCTGGACAAGACACATGACTTCCCACTTGATTAAGTCTGGGTACCCTCCTCCTAATGCGGACTGTTCGAGAAAATTTCCAATGCTTCCAAATTTTGGACTGGAGATAAACACTTACCTAGGCTTTTCTCCTTACCATCTACCAGATGTTGTTTTCCAGTGGATCTGGTGTTGGTTGTAGCTGGACGAGATACATGACTTCCCACTTGATTAAGGCTGGATACCCTCCTCCTAATGTTCGATAAAATTTCCAATGCTTCCAAGTTTTGGACTGGAGATAAACACTTACCTAGGCTTTTCTCCTTACCATCTACCAGATGTTGTTTTCCAGTGGATCTGATGTTGCTTGTAGCTGGACGAGATACATGACTTCCCACTTGATTAAGGCTGGATACCCTCCTCCTAATGTGGACTGTTCGAGAAAATTTCCAATGCTTCCAAGTTTTGGACTGGAGATAAACACTTACCTAGGCTTTGCTCCTTACCATCTACCAGATGTTGTTTTCCAGTGGATCTGGTGTTGTTTGTGTCAGAGGTGTGCACATGCAGAGAAGGGTTCTTGGTATGGGAGCTCCTCTTCCCTACCTCTACCTCTTTTTGAGGTGAAAAGTAGAAGACCCTCTTCCTACCGTGGACCTGATGTACAATTTCAGATGCTGCCAAGTGTTGGTTGAGACTGAACTCTCAGTTACGGTCTGTTGTGCCCTAGCGATTATACACCAGGGAGTCCCATTATTTCTGTATTTTTTTGGGACCCCTTCTAGTTCCTGCATTTTACATTTTGATGACACAAAACTAAAGGGTGAAGAGTATTCCTGGTTCAGAAATGGTGCAGTTTCCCACTGGTGTGTTGTTTTAAATTCCTTATCATACCTTATGGTCTTCCTTTGGGCATTTCCTAAAGGGGGATCATCTTCACACCAGACCTCAACCAGTTCAATATGGAATTCTAGCTTTTTGTGAGCAGAAGTAAGATATTGTATCAGAAGTTAACATTTTCCTAAACTGAAAATGTATTTCCAGTAGATACTTACCTCCCCTCACATTTACCATCCATCCTCCCCTCTTCCAGTGTGAGTTGGTTTGGTTAGTTATAACTAATATTGAAATGATTAATGTGCATGATTAGAGAGGGGGCTAGTTACAACAGGGGTAGTGTTGCATTCCTACTGGTGGAGGGTTGCTGCATGATCATTAGTATGCAGTAATAAGTGGGAGTAACAAGGCTAGTGGTGAGAGAAAGTTGTGCTGATAGCGGGCAGCACAAGTCAAGAAAGCTTTTTGTGAGAGCGGTATCTATTGGAAATACATTTTCAATTAAGGAAAATGATAACTTTCTTAATTTCAAAGTGTAAACAATTAAATAAATTCTTAATCTTCATTTCTGTTAATCATATGAAACTTCTATGATCAAAGTGCCCATTTAAACATTCTTTCCACCCCTAATTGAGACTCAGAGTTTAAATTCAAATTATAAACTTAAAGTGTAACATAATCTAATCTTACAGCATCCAATTATATTACTTTACTGAGATATAAACCAGAAAGCCAAACCCACTTGTCCTGCCCCTTTGTCACATACTGGCTTTCACAAATATGTTAGTAATTCTTTCTGATATTTGCTATTACATTATTTATAACCAATAGAAAGAGATTTTGATTTTCTACTTGTATGTAAGACCAGCTTGTTCTGGTGACAGCTTTTGAATTATTCAGCTTACAGGTTCATAATTGCTATCATGGAATAAATCAACCATGTAAAGGAATTATTTTAGCTCGCATGTAGCTTAGTTAGAAAACCAGCTAAATTATAATAGCTATAGAACATTGTACTCTGTGTATATGTTATTATTTTGTGTTCTAAATTTAATATTTGGAATAAATCAGGCCTCCCAGTGCACCCTACCTTCTTACTTTTTCACTAATTTT